TGTTACTGTGGGTAACAGGGACACCCCGTGTGTTACTGTGGGTAACCAGGACACCCCATGTGTTACTGTGGATAACAGGGACAGGGACACCCCGTGTGTTACTGTGGATAACAGGGACACCCCGTGTGTTACTGTGGGTAACAGGGACAGGGACAGCCCGTGTGTTACTGTGGATAACAGGGACGGACACACCCTGTGCGTTACTGTGGGTAACAGGGACGGAGACACCCCGTGTGTTACTGTGGGTAACAGGGACACCCCGTGTGTTACTGTGGGTAACAGGGACGGAGACACCCCGTGTGTTACTGTGGGTAACTGGGACACCCCGTGTGTTACTGTGGGTAACAGGGACAGGGACATCCCGTGTGTTACTGTGGATAACAGGGACACCTCGTCTGTTACTCTGCGTAACAGGGACAGGGACACCTCATGTGTTACTGTGGGTAACCGGGACACCCCGTGTGTTACTCTGCGTAACAGGGACAGGGACACCCCGTGTGTTACTGTGGGTAACCGGGACACCCCGTGTGTTACTGTGGATAACAGGGATCGAGTCAGTGAGCCCTTGCTCGGTCAATCCTGTAAATAGTAAAGGGAATGTAGTCAGTGATCACTCACCCGGTTGATGTCGGAGATCAGTTTGCCTTCATGGGGTACGTACAGCTTTTGGTTGTTCGCTCGGAGTTTACTCTGGATGGTGAAAAGCAGAACCTCCAGATTGCCCTTCTCCTCAAACCTGAATGGAAATCAAGAACAACTTTCATTGGTGTAGCACCTTTCACACAATGCAACACCCCTAGGCACTTGACAGCCATACTGTAAAACACAGTCTGACGCTCAGTCACAGAAAGAGCTGACACATTTTGGCAAAGAGGCAGATTTTGATGATTGACTGAAAAGTCGGACAGTCAAAGAGAAGGAGGGAAGAGGTTCCAGAATTTGGGGCCCAGTCAATAGAAGTTGCGACCCTCAACGAGGGTCCTGAATTCGGGAAGTGCCGATGTCTCAGAGAGTAGTGGGGCTGCAGAGACAGGGTGGGTTTGAGAAACCATGGCAGGGATTTTAAAACGAAGGTGTTGCCTGACAGGAAGCCAACATTAGTCAACATGGGTGACTGTGGAATGGAACTCACTGTGAGTTAGACACAGGAACTAGAGGTTTGAACAACCTCGGGTTTATGAAGGATACAATGTGGGAGAGCAGCCAGGAGTGAGGTCCAATAACCTGGAGGCAATGGGCGAGCATTTCAGCAGCAGATGAGACGGGGACGTCAGGGAGGTGAGTACACAATCTTAGCTACAATGCAGACACGTGTTAACCAAGTTCATCTCAGGATGAAATGTTCCAGCAAGGTTACAAAGCAGAGTGGCTCCATCTCAGATCAATCTCAGATCATCTCAGTCAATCACTAGGGAACGGAGTTCCAAGCAGGAGCTGAGAACCTCAGATGAGTCCTGGCTTTGAGGCAGATTGTCTCAGAGATTGGAACCCACAACCTCAGCTGGAACCTCATTCACTAATTGGCCATCGATCATCCAGGTTACCGCACTGATTCCCAATTGCCTGGCGGTATTGAGAGGGGGAAGTAGGGGCAGCATCGCCACCGGTGACCCCGAGACTCAGACCTAAGACACATGGCACACAGTTCAAATCCCATTGCAGCCCAGGGCCAGGGAGGGGAGTCAGAGCAGAGCCCAATCTGTGGGGCCCACTAAGGTCCAAGGGCCCAGTCAGGAACAGCTCGGTGTGATAACTACCCCCAGTGATGACAACCATTATCAATTATCATTAAAACCCCTTCTGGGTCACTGATACCCCTTTAGGGAAGGAAATCTGCTGTCCTTACCCGGTCTGGCCTACACATGACTCCAGGCCCACAGCAATGGGGTTGACTCTGAAACAGCCCTAAAAACTCAGTTCAAGGGCAATTAGGGATGGGGGAATAAACACAGGTGTTGCCAGTAATCCCCAACTTCCCTAAAAACAACAGATTGTTTAAAATTGCTGTTTGTGGAAGCTTGTCGTGTGAAATTTAGAATCATAGAACCCCTATGATGTGGAAGCAGGCCATTTGACCCATCAAGTCCACAACAACCCTCCACAGAGCATGAACAAAAACAAAGTTGCTAGAAAAGCTCAGCAGGTCTGGCAGTATCTGTAAAGGAAAAAACAGAGTTAACGTTTCAGATCCGGTGACCCTGAGGAACCTGACCCTGAGGAAGGGTCACCAGACCCGAAATGTTAACTCTGTTTTTTCCTTCACAGATGCTGCCAGACCTGCTGAGCTTTTCCAGCAACTTTGTTTTTGTTCCTGATTTACAGCATTTGCAGTTCTTTCGGTTTTTCCTCCATACAGCATCTCACCCAGAACTACTCAAAAGGAATTTGGCCCATATCCCTCTAAACCCTTCCTATTCATAAACCCATCTAGATGCCTTTTAAATGTTGTAAGTGTACCAGCCTCCACCACTTCCTCTGGCAGCTCATTCCATATACGCACCATCTTCTGCGTAAAAAGTTTGCCCCAAAGGTCCCTCTTAAATCTTTCCCCTCTCACCTGAAACCAATACCCTCTGGTTTGGACTCCCTCACCCTGGGGGAAAAGACCTTGTCCATTCACCCTATCCATGCCCCTCCTGATTTCATATACCACTATAAGGTCACCCCTCAGCCTCTGATGCTCCAGGGAAAATAGTCCCAGCCTATTCAGCCTCTCTGTAGTTCAAACCCTCCAACCCTGGCAACATCCTTGTAAATCTTTTCTGAACTCTTTCAAGTTTCACAAAATCCTTCCTATAGAAGGGAGACCAGAATTGCACGCAGTAGTCCAAAAGTGGCCTCACCAATGTCCGCAACGTGACTTCTCAACTTCTGTACTCAATGCATTGACCAATAAAGGCAAGCATACCAAATGTCTTCTTCACCACCATGTCTACCTGCGTCTCCACTTTCAAGAAACACGAACTTGAACTGCAAGGTCTCTTTGTTCAGCAACACTCCCTGGGACCTTACCATTAAGTGCATAACTCCTGCCCTGATTTGCCTTTCCCAAAATGCAGCACCTCACATTTATCTAAATTAAACTCCACCTGCCACTGGATTCTGGGTAATCCAAGATGGAGGACGGGAAAAGGTGATGGCTGTGAGAGCAGCTCCTTTTTGTTTTGAGGTATTTTCAGTGTTGGAGCTGATTTTCTCAAATTCTAGGAGCAGTAATTGCTGTTTTATAAGCTGTTAAATTGCTTCGGAACTTTGGGAAAGCAAAGATCAAAACAGTGGCACTTTAAAAAGGAGGAAGAGAGAGAGAGACAGCAGTGACCAGGTGGAAAGTGAAACAAATGGAGAAGTAAAGCTGCAGAGCTGTGTGAACCTTCAGTGCTCGCTGCTTCTGCTGTTTGGTTTAAAGTAGCTCTGGGCATTGGAGTTCAACTAAGAAAAACCACACAAGTGCAATTCAATATCTGGTGGCCTGGGTGAGGGAATGTCAGTGGGCACAGGGATGTTGGTCACCTGGTGTTTGGATGGCATACAACAATAGCAGCAAAAAAACTATAGTTTAAGGGGTCAGTAATACATCTGGCACAGTCTTTACACTGTCAAAAATAGATGTTAACATCTGCTTGCATGTCAGCCCATTTTCACCTCCTTATGGTCCCCGTTATCAGCTTTTCTTTCTCCTGATATTCTGTCATCCATCCTTTTGCCTCCCTAACTGTCATTCTCTCATGCCTCCACTCACTCCTTCCTCACACCTCCCCCCCACCCCACCCCACCTTCAGCACAAATACCACCTCCTCCTAACTACTATTGATTCTGAAGAATCATAGAATCCCTAAGTGTGGAAGCAGGCCATTCAGCCCATTGAGTCCACACCCACCCTCTAAAGAGCATCCCAGCTAGACCACACCCCTCTAGCCTATCCCTGTAATCCTGAATTCCCCAGGGCTAACCCACCTAGCCTACACATCCCTGGACACTATGGGCAATTTAGCATGGCCAATCCACCTATCTTGCACATATCTGGACTGTGGGAGCACTCGGAGGAAACCCATGCAGAGAATGTGCAGACTCCACACAGACAGTCACCCAAAGGTGGAACTGAACCCAGGTCCCTGCCGCTGTGAGGCAGCAGTGCTAACCACTGAGCCACCGTGCTGCCCCACTTAAGAAGGGCTACTGGACTGGAAAACAGTAACTCTGCCTTCTTGCCAACGATGCTGCCAGGCATGCTGAGTTCCTCCAGTAATTTCTGTTTTAGTGCCAGGCGATGCCCAGCTTCAACAAGACAGAATTTATCCCTTGGCATTCAAATCCATTAGGGTCACTGCATCTGGGATGAAACCTCAGAATATGTGATTATTATTTGGAGACTGAGGTTCTACATTGGAGTAAAAATGAGTTTTAGTTTTGGTTCCATCAGGGTCAGCAATTTGAACAATAAACCAAAAAAAAGCAGCACTTTCAAGAGAGCACGTGATTTTGACAAATGGGCAGAAAACCACTGGGGCAGATAATTGCTAAGGTGTTTGCTGACTTGAGTTTTACAACCCAGCGAGAGAGAAAGGAAAAACAAGTTCATTCAGAAAAAGCTGTTGATCAAAAGAGAAAAGGTCCCTAACAGCAACGGAACTGTTACAAGCTGTTCAAGCTGTCAGGGTTGACAAAAAAGTTCAGAGTTAGCCACAGCAGTAGGAGGTGCTAGAGATGAACACACTCTCCAAGGCTACTTTCATGAGGTTAAGGAACTCCATGATAATTAATAAGTGAGCTTGGGAAGGAACTTTAACCAAAGAAAACAGTACGGATGAAAATACAGATTTGCAGAAAAGGAACTGATTTTGGCCATGATAGCTAAACAAAGCGCTTTAGCATGGAGGCACAGTTGACTATTCACCAAGATTTGGATGTCTATGGAGTTGCTGTTGGGGTAAAAGGTCTGATCTTTCTCTCTGATACTTGTAATTACATCATTTCAAATGATTGTGGTATTGTCTAATACAGGTGTGGTATTGTGTAATATACTTTTACGTTCTTTGTTAAAAGTACATGGGTAGCCTCTTGTGAATATGCTCAGTGATTCAGCCCCACAGTAAACAAAGCTGGAAGTAAAACTTATAACTCACCAAGCTGGGTTTCACTCTGGGATGTGATTGGTCCAATATTACCATCAGTTGGGATCATAATAAATTCCTTATTATCAACATGCTGGGGATTACCATTGACCAGAAATTGAACTGGACCATCCATATAAATATAGTGGCTACAAGGCAGGTCAGAGACAAGGAATACTGTGGTGAGTAACTTACCTCCAGACTCCACAAAGCCTGTCCATTATCTAGGGCAGGGAATGAGAGTTTTAAAGAGCAACACAATGGCTTAGTGCTTAGCGCTGCTGCCTCACAGCACCTCCAATCCCTCCACCGCCAACACTCTCAGTTGCAACAGTGTGTACCATCTACAAGATGCACTGTAGACATTCACCAAGGCTCCTCTGACAGTATCTTCCAAACTCATGATCTCTACCCCTGGAAGGACAAGGGCAGCAGATACATGAGAACACTGCCACTTCCAAGTTCCCTTCCAAGCCACTCACCACCCTGACTTGGAAATATATCACCATTCTTTCTGCTGTCGCTGGGTCAAAATCCTGGAATTCCCTCCCTAAGGGCATTGGGGGTCTATCTACAGCATGTGGACTGCAGCGGTTCAAGAAGTCAGCTCCCCACCATCTTCTCGGGGGGTAACTAGGGACGGGCAATAGATGGGTATTCCAGCCAATATCAGCCATCTCCCATGAGCAAATAAAGAAACATTTTCTCTATTTACACTAACAGGTATACTCTGCACACAGAGTCAGATCGCCTGTGCCTATGATGATACCCAGTGAGTGTATTCGCCTCACACTCAATGCCTACTTCAAAGGTTTCTCCACAGTGCAGTAGTTGGTGAAGGCTTGCAGTTGCTGTTGAACGCCAGTTAATGAGTTTGCAAATCGTTGATTGCTGATCAGAGCGATAGTTTGCTCAATCCATGCGAGCAACTCAGATGCCAATGTCTCATATCTCGTGATAATCTGTTCAATCTCCAGAGCTTTGTCCAGGACCTGTCAAAGAAAGAGAGAGAGAGAAAGAGAGAGAGAGAGAGAGAGAGAGAGAGCGCGAGACAGAAGGACGTACTTGATGGAGGGTACAACAAACAGAGGTCGAAAGACAGAGACAGACAGAGATAGGGGCCCGGATTTGAGCTAAAAAGAATATACAATCATGAAATTTCCACCAGAGTGGGGGAGCTGCAGGATGAAATCAGGCTCACCGACTCCAAAAGCAGATGTTAGGAGGATGTGGGGACAGCTGAGTGTAAAGGTGAGCTGGTTAGAAGGAGCAGCTCAGTTTTCTACATTGTCCCCAAACACTTCCAGGACAGGGACAGTGTGGGATTAGATAGATAGGCAGAGGGACAATGAGAGATATGCAGAGGTAGATTTTGCACATTCTCCCCATGTCTGCGTGGGTTTCCTCCCACAGTCCAAAGACATGCAGGTTAGGTGGACTGGTCATGTTAAATTGTCCATAGTGTCCAGGGATGTGCAGACTAAGTGGGTGAGCCACCTGGGGAAAGACAGGGTTACAGGGATAGAGTGGGGAGTTGGGACTGGATGGGATGCTCTTCTGAGAGTCGATGTGGACTCAATGGGTTGAATGGCTTGCTTCCAGGAAGGAGGGTTTCTATGATTCTACAAGACAGTGAGAGACAGTCAAAGATAGTGAGGGATAATGGGAGACAATGGGTAACAGTGAGAGACAGTGAGGGACAGTGGGAGACAGCGAGGCACAGTGGGAGACAGCGAGGGACAATGGGAGACAGCGAGGGACAGTGGGAGACAGCGAGGGACAGCGGGGCACAGTGGGAGACAGCGAGGGACAGCGAGGCACAGTGGGAGACAGCGAGGGACAGCGGGAGACAGCGAGGGACAGCGGGAGACAGTGAGGGACAGTGAGAGACAGCGATGCACAGTGGGGGACAGTGCGGGACAGGCAGTAGGATACAGGCATGGGGTACAATGACAGACAATGAGATAGCAAGGTACCACATAGAGATACAGTGACAAACAGAGAGACATCACGAGATACAGTGAGGGGCCACACACGCCCACCTGGGTCACTGATGTCGTTCAGGGAGGGAAATCTGCCATGCTTACCTGGTCTGACCTACACATGACTCCAGACCTACTCTCCCCTCTGGACAATTAGGGATGGAAAATAAATGCTGGCCTAGCCAATAGGGCCACATCGTAAGATACGAATGGAGAAAAATAAAGATTCAGGAAAAGACCCTTTGGCCTGCATTCTTTTATTGCAAAGTCATCTCTTACCTTTCCAATCCGCTTTCCCTCCACAGCAAGAGCCTTCATTTTGGAGAAGTAATGGTAATAGGAGACCACGTAGGTGATAATGGACTTCTCGTCGGGATTCTCCATGTTCACATCTGGTAGAACAGTTCAACGTTTCCACCATCAGAAATGCAGAGGTGAGCCTGGTCAGTATGCACCAATGTTACAGAAACCAGGAACAACTCTGTACATTGTCCCCATCAAACACTTCCCAGGACAGGGACAGCACAGGGTTAGACACAGGATAAAGCTCCCTCTACACCGTCCCCAATCACCTCCAGGACAGGAATGAGGTTGTGTACATCAGTCATAGCCTTGATGGTCACTGCACAGTCAGGGGCTCTGCCGTGTAACATCAAATGGAGTAAATACAACCCCATGTGGTGCCAATTGCCCATGGGCTGAAACCAGGCACTGGCAGGGTACATGTCCCAGGGTGCCCTCTGGCACTGAGAGGCTCATGGTCCTACCTTCAGGGTCCAGAAGCTTGGCCACGCCCAGCTGCTGCTCGGCCACATTAAACGCCTGCTGGAGGTTAAAGGTTGTGTTGGATTTCTGCAGTTTGGCAAAGTCAATGAGGTCACTCCTGAAAAAAGGCAAATATCCAAATTATTACAACACAAGGGGCAAAACACCGAGCCCTTTGAGTGACCTTGGCTCTGGCTTGTGGTCACTTTGGCCATATATTGGTCCAGTAGTTCATCATATTTCCCCAGGACAGGGCAGGGGCATTGGTCTGCTGGAGGGCGTGGGGTCAGCAGCTGGCCAAAGTCTCTCTCTATGATACTCCTGACTCACATGTTTCTTAGTGAGCTCACATCACCATGTGTCCCTTCAACAGTACCTTCCAGGCCAGGACAATGATACCCATTTGACTGACACACCATCCACCACCTTCAACCTTCACTCCCTCCACCACCAACGCTCAGTAGCAGCAGTGTGTACCATCTACAAGATGCCCTGCAGAAATTCACCAAAGATCCTTAGACAGGTCCTTCCAAACCCACAAGCACTTCCATCTAGAAGGACAAGGGCAGCAGATACATGGGAACACCACCATCTACAAGTTCCCCTCCAAGCCACTCACCATCCCAACTTGGAAATATATCACCATTCCTTCAGTGTCACCAGGTCAAAATCCTGGAATTCCCTCCCTCAGGGCATTGCGAATCAGCCTACAGCAGGAGGACTGCAGCAGTTCAAGAAGGCAGCTCATCACCACCTTCTCAGAAGCAACTAGGGACAGGCAATAAAGGCTGGGCTTGCTAACAATGCCCAATATTGTGAGAAATAAAATGAAATTAACAGCTGTTGAAATCCTGAAACATTAACCTTGGCCCTTGTGGAGACATTAACTATGACGTCTGAGGGGAAATGCCCTGTGACCCCTGAGGAGATATGACCCACCCAGCCTTCCCCAGAGAGATACAAAACTCTGCTGTAAATGGGGCTGTCAATCTGAGTACCATACCACTCCTGTGCCATTCTCAATGCCAGGCCGGTCAGGCCTGATCCATTGCACATTTCCCAGCATCCGGAGGTCCGCTCACCCGCATGCTGGTTAATAGAGAGACAGATGGGAAAGTAGAGAGGGGGCAAACTAGACAGAGGGAAAGAAAGGTAGGGAGAAGGGAAGAGGGGGCAGAGAAAGTAGGAAGGCTAAAGGAGAGAGTGGGAAGTGGAGAAACAGAAGAACAAAAACAAACAAAGAGTAGTACAGCACAGGAACAGGCCCTTCAGCCCACTGAGACTGACCTAATACATGATGCCTTTTTAACATTTTGCCTTTACACTGACCATGTCTCTTTATTCCCTGCCTATTCATTTTTCTGTGAAGATGCCTTTTAAACATTTCTATTTGTATCTGCCTCCAACACCTTCTCTGGCAGTGCATTCCAGGCACTTGCCACCCTCTGTGTAAAAAACCTGCCTCTCACATCTCCTTTAAACTTTCCCCTTTTACCTTAAACCTATGACCCCTAAACATTGACATTTCCACCCCAGGAAAAAAGACTCCAACTATCCATTCTATCCATACTGTTCATGATTTTGTAAACTTCTATCAGGTCGTCCCTCAGCCTCCAATGTTCAAATGAAAACAAACTGAGTTTGTTCAGTCTCTCCTCATAGCTAATAGTCTCCAAACCAGGCAACATGCTGGTATTTCTGTCCCCTCTCTAAAGGCTTCACATCCTTCTGATGGTCTGGCAACCAGAACTGAACATAATATTCCAAATATGGCCTAACTAAAGTTCTATATTGCTGCAACATGACTTACAATTTTTATACTCTGTGCCCCGACTGATGAAGGCAAGCATGCCAAATACCTTCTTGACCATCTTATCCACTTGTGTTACCACTTTCAGGGAACTGTGGACCTGTACACCTAGATCCCAGTGTATGTTGATGGTACTAAGGGTTCTCCCATTTACTATATACTTCCCTCCTGCATTAGACCTTCCAAAATACATCACCTCGCATTTGTCTGGATTAAATACCATCTACAATTTCTCCGCCCAAGTCTCCAGCCTATCTATATCCTACTGTATCCTCTGTCAATCCTCCTCACTTCCACAATCCTGTGTAATCTGCAAACCTACTAATCAGGCTACCTATATTCTCCTCCAAATCATTTATATATATTACAAACATCAGTGGTCACAGCACTCATCCCTGCAAAACATCACTGGCCACAGATTTTCAGTCAGAAAAACACCCTTCCATTGCTACTCTCTTGTCTTCTATGACTAAGCCAGTTCTGTATCCATCTTACCAGCTCACCATGGAACCCTTGTGACTTCACTTTTTGCATCAGCCTGCCATGAGGAACCTTGTCAAAGGCCTTGCTGAAGTCCATATAGACAACATCTACCACCCTCCCCTCATCAATCATCATTGTCACTTCCTAAAAGCTCAATCAAGTTTATGAATCACAGCCTTCACCATACAGAACAATGCTATCTATCACTAATAAGTCCATATTTTTCCAAATGTGAGTAAATCCTATCCCTAAGAATCTTCTCCAATAATTTCCCTACCACTGATATAAGGCTCACTGGCCTGCAATTTCCCAGATTATCCTTGTTGCCCTTCTTAAACAAAGGAACAACATTGGCTATTCTCCAGTCCTCTGGGATCGCTCCTGTGACCAAAGAAGATGCAATGATTTCACACAAGGCCCCAGCAATTTTCTCACCTGGCTCCCTCAGCATTCTGAGATAGCTGCTATCAGGTCCCAGTGACTTGTTGAATCTTAATGCTTTTTATAAACACCCAACATCTTTTTTATATCGATATGCCCCAGAATATCAACACACTCCTCCCGAAACTCACCACCCACCATGTCCTTCTCATTTGTGAATACCAAGGGAGAGAGAAAGATAGTGGGGTGAACATTGGCTAAAAAGGGCTAAACCCTTTCCTTGCTTGGGCCTAGGGGCTGGTTTGGTTTACAGTGATAGAGATTTATGAGTGAATCTCAGCAAGAAAGGGCTCTTATCTTAAACAAGATACTCTTTATTGCATGATAGCAATCAGATCCACAGTACATTCATATGTTAAGGGCTCTTAAGGTACAGAGGTAGTGTCCGTACCTCTGAGCCAGAAGGCCTGGGCTCAAGTCCCATCTGCTTCAATAGTGCATCATTCCATGTTGAGACAGTTTGTTTGAAATGTCTACATTCGCAAGTTACAGGAACAGCCATCACGGGCATGAGGTCTGTTTGTCAGCCAGACGATCAGCTCTGTCCCCTTCACTCCTAACACAGAGGACCTCAAAACCAGCAAAACCATACCAAACTCAGTGGGCCCTGGTCCCTGGTTATTGGGCTCTGGTGTTCACCTCTGCGCTGGAACCCAATAAGTTAGATGTTGTTAGGAACACAGTGAGGAGATCTGTGAATATAGCTTTTCACTCCACACCATCAGCAGATTGAGCACAGGCTCCAACATTAACCCTCTCTGTGCCACTACCTTACAAAACATTCTCTTGCCTTCTCTCCCCAGCCCCCCACTTACCACCCATGGATTGTTTACTTTGATCTTCATAGACAGGATGTAATCTCATCCTTTCACACTTTAAATTACACCCATTTTACATCTTTGTCTGTTTCACAGCCATAAACAGCTCCTTTCACCTTTTGGACTGAACCTCGACATCATCTGCCACATTTGTTCCTCACCAAAAGTGTAAAAAATACCAACCTTCCGAGCCCTTTCACTTCTGAAAAAAAAAGTCATGCCGGACTCGAAATATTAACTCTGTTTCTCTCTGCACGACCTGCTGAGTTTCTCCAGCACTTTCTGTTTCAAATTTGGATCATCCACAGTCTTTTGCTTTCACTTTCAACACCTGATCCCACCGCAGTCCCATTCCCAGGCTTGGAAACAACTGTGGAACCTGCCAGTGAGGGACTGTGGGATACTGGTGCCACATGAGACTGGTTGCTGACTCCGAGCTGGTGACCAAGACATAGAACATGGAACAGTACAGCACAGGTACGGGCCCTTCAGCCCACAATGACGCCAAATAAAGCCAATCCCTTCTGCCTGCCCATGGCCCATATCCTACCATTCCTTACATAGTCATGTGTTTATCTAAAAGTCCCTTAAAAGCCCTTAACATATCTGCCCCAACCATCACCCCTGGCAACATGTTCCAGAAACCCACCACTCTCTGTGTAAAAAACTTGTCCCTCACATCTCCGTTGGACTTTTCCCCTCTCACCTTAAATGCATGCCCCCTTGTATTAGACATTCCAACTCTGGGAAAAAGATTCTGATTGTCAACCCTATCTTTGCATCTCATAATTTTGTAAACATCTATCAAGTCTCCCCTCAGCCTCTGCCGCTCCAGAGAAAACAAACCGAGTTTTTCTAGCCTCCCCTTATAGCTCATACCCTCTAATCCAGGCAACATCCTGGTAAACCTCTTCTGCACCCTCTCCAAAGCCTCCACATCCTTCCTGTAATGTGGCGACCAGAACTGAATGTGATACACAAGACACCTAATCCCAGCAGCTGCCAGCCCTGAATCCTGTCCCCAACTCCCGGGAGCCTGTCCCTAAAGCAAAGGTGTGTACCTGTGTTTGTGGATGAGAGCATTAAACGCAAGCCCGTCACTCCAGCTGCTGGTGAAGTTCTGCACATTCACACCGGGATACCTGAGTCAAACAGAGACATTTAGTGACTTCTCTGGGTCTTGTATCTGCACCACCTGCTCTATTACCCTGTTTCTGCTGGGTATCAAATTTTCTGCTTTTAATGGGTCACTTATTTTTCATATGTTTCTCGAAAACTATGAAGAGACATTTCTGCCGCACAGTGTTTTGGTTTGGGAGGAAGTACACATTTGTAACAAAGCAATCTGTCAATAAGCCTACTTTTAATTTAAAGAAACTGGCGGTGTAATCCACACAGCTTGTACTGCTCAGGAGGGGAGACACTATAATAATCCCCTCACTCTGACCAGTGAATGTTGAAGTGAAAAGCAAGAACTCTGTGGCTTGAGCAGGTACTGGGAGAGCAGTAACAGCTGATGCAGATCTGGGAAAGGAATAGGCATGGCAGAGGCAGTCAATCGTACTACTTAGAATACACCAGTGAAGGGAGTGGGTGGAAATGGAGAATCCCTCTGGCATGGCGGTAATGTCCATACCTCTTGTCCAAGAGGCCTGGGTTCAAGTCCCACCCGCTCCAGAGATGCGCCATAACATCGCTGAACAAATTGGTTAGAAATGCCTCCATGTGAAAACCAAAACTTTGCATTCGAATGATCTCAACCAAGGAAACATTTAAATCGAGATTGGCAACACCACAAAGGTGGAGGGCACTGACTGATTAAGTACCTTGAGCATGTGCTCAAAGGGAGACCTAACAGTTCCAGGCAGTGTGCATCAGGGGAAGGGGGTCATTCCCTTCTCCTGTCCATGCCTGGGTCCCCTTGGAGAGGGACAGCTTGTGCCACCTGACCCATGGGCATCACAGAGGGAGTTAGAGTGCATTGTTGGCACTGGGAAGGACATTATAGCTTAAATCCCATTAAAGATCTTGATTACGTTGCAGTAACGGGAATGCGCCTCTTCAAAAATGGTTTGCTTGTTCTCACTGCTCTCGCCGAGAGTGCGTAAGGAGAGAACATTTCTCCATCTGTCCAAGTCCACTTGTCTCCAGAGGGGGAGTGCCCTTTTCCACTGCCTCGTTTGAGGGTTTCCACAGACTGAGGGGCAGCAGGCGAGGCGGGGGCTGGAGTGCATTATTGTCAATCAATAAATTTTCGTTAAGTTTTCCCTTTCCTGTTTTCAATGGGTCATTTTTTTTACATGGGTCCCTCAAAGACAACGAACAGTCATTTCTGCAGCACTGTGTACTGAAATCTATCAGTGAAATATCCTCTTAGCACCCATTCCAACAAACTCCCCCAGGATCTTACACGATGACAATAAGGCTGATAGTGAGCAGTTGATTACTGCTGTGCTGGCTGATACCAGCCCTGTACTAAATGAAAATTTAGAGGTCGGTCTGCACTCTGACCCGCCCCCACCCAGGCATTAACTCTGACCACCAGCCCATGCTCTCTGACCCTGCTCCTCAGTACAATCACTCACCCTGCTGTCTTCATCTGACACCACAGCAGGAGAGCGTCTTTGGCCGAGCGAGTCTCTCGGTTGTCTTCTGTGTTGATTTTAATCACCTGAATCTGAAGCAGAGACACCAACAAAAGAGCCTGAAAGACCAAGATGGCCGCCAGGAGAATCCAGCCCTCAGCCCGCTCTGAGCTCCCCGATCACCCAATTTGCTAATCAAACAAAAAGAGACAGCCCTATACCCGAGACCGTTCTCCACTCTGAGACCCTCTCCTCCAAATCACTCCATCCTACTCTGACCCTCAGCTTCTCCCCATTCCAACCTCCAGCCCCTCCTCCAACTCAAAACCTCTCCTGAACAACACCTCCCCCCATACTGAACTCTTCAACACTCAGTCCCTGCCTTTATCCACCCTCTTCCTCCTCCTCAAACACCCTCCTCTCTGTCACAGACAGCACAACTACTGACTAACCCTCCCCAACCCGCTGAAAGCCTCTCTTACCCTTTCACTTCTCCCTCTTACTCCCAATTCTCTGTCCGTCACCCTCCTGCCTCTAACCTGAGGCAATGGTGACCATTCCCCCCAAGACAGCAGGCACCAACTGGGACACCCCGGGCTGGTCCTTGGTCAAGGACTGCCCGTCCAATCCAATCACCTTCCCGGCAGCTGTTACCTGGAAACGGAGAATAATGGTCCAGATGAGGCCAAGAGTGAGCCGGTGGTTTCCATCGACGATGTCATGTGAGCCCACATTCTCCAGGTGAACGCGCTGCTCCTTCAGAAACTGAAGCGCCTTGTCTACATTCTCCAGCGAATGGATTCGCATCCGGCCCCGCGTCGGCTTGGGCTAAGGTGGGATGGGGGGATAGTTAAAACGCTCACACACCATCACCGTCACTGACACACTCCCCCCCGTCACTGACACATGCCCAACAACAACTTGAATTTAAGTAGCATCTTGAACACAATTAAAAACATCGCGCAATGCTTCGCAGGAGCATCACGAAGCAAAATTTGACACCAAATAACATAAAGCGGCTTTTGGGCCGAGTGACCAAACACTTGGTCAAGGACGGAACTTTAAGGAATGCGGAGACAGACAAAGAGAGATTGTAAAGGATCTTCAGAACAGAGCAGTTGACAACAGAACCGCTAGTGGCAGGGATTAAAACCCGGAATTCCCAAAAGGCCAGAGTTAGAGGGGCGCATGCAAGGAACCACAGCAATGATATAGTACAGAAGAGGGCCATTCAGCCAGTCTTGTCCACGCTGAACACTTAAAGAGCATCTGTTTTCCTTTATCCTCTCATGGGGAGTGAGTGTCATTGGCATTGTTGCCAATCCCCTAAGTGCACTCGAACTGATTAGCTCCGTGAATCATTTCAGAGTGCAGTTAAGACTCAGTCACAGTGCTATGGGTCTGGAGCCATGTGTAGGCCAGACCAACGTAAGCAAGGCAGATCTCAATCCCTAAAGGGGCATCAGCGAAGCTTGATCATGAGGAATCATGACAACCTCACTGTTGCTTTCAGTCAGACAGTTCCAGATTTGTTAAACTGATTTTAAATTTCTCACCAGCTGCCATGGTGAGATTTGAACCCATGCCCTCAGAGAATTAGCCTGACCTCTGGATTACTACTCCATTGACAATACTACTGCGCCATCATCGTGGGGCTAGAGGAGCTTACAGAAATAAGGAGGGGTAATCCCATGGAGGGATTTGGAAACAAGGATGAAAGTTTACACAAGATGATGATCAATTAATGGGCTGAAGAGTGTCAGATGGAGTTTGATTTGGATAAATGGGAGGTATTGCATTTTGGTAAAACAAACAAGGGCAGGATTTATACAATTAAAAGTAGGGCCTTGGGTAGTTCTGTAGAACAAAGAGATCTAGGGGTGCAGGCACATAATTATTTGCAGTTTGCGTCACATATAGACAGGGTGGTTAAGAAGGTGTTTAACATGCTTGCCTTCAATGCTCAGACCTTTGAGTATAGGAATTGGGACACTATGTTGAGGTTGTACAGGACGTTGGTGAGGCCTCTTCTGGAGCACTGTGTGCAGTTCTGGTCTCCTTGCTGCAGGAAGGATATTATTAAGCTGGAGAGGGTTCAGAAGAGATCTACTAGGATGTTGCTGGGAATGGAATGTATTAGTTATAAAGAGAGGCTGGATAGGCTGGGACATTTTTCACTGCAATGTAGGAGGTTGAGGGGTGACCTTATGGAGGTTTATAAAAATCATGAGGGGTATAGATAAGGTGAATGGCAGGTGTCGTTTCCCTAGGGTGGGGTTTTCAAGACTCGGGGGCATGTTTTTAAGGTGCGAGATGAAGAAATTTTTAAAAGGACATGAGGGGCAACGTTTTTTACACAGAGAGTGGTTCAAGTGTGGAATGACCTGCCAGAGGAAGCGGTGGATGCAGGTACAGTTACAATGTTTAATAGAAATTTGGACAGATACATGAACTGGAAAGGTTTGGAGGGATATGGGCCAAACACAGGCAGGTGGGACTAGTTTAGTTCAGGAAAATGGTTGGCATGAACTGGTTGGACCGAAGGGTCTGTTTCCGTGCTGTATGATTTTATGTTGTTTTGTCCAGGAGGTAGTCTAAGTCAGTGAGCACAGGGCTGATGGGTGAATGGGGCTTCATGTGAGGAAGCTTGCAGAAAAACAAGAGCTTTGGATGACCTCAACTTTATGGAAGGTGGAATGTGGGAGGCAGCCTTGAGTGTGTCAGAATAGCCAAGTCTGGTGGGAACTAGAGATGTCTGGAGGTAAACTAGACAGACAGAGAGAGAGAGAGAGAGAAAGAAATAACAAAAGATTGCCCTCCCAGGATAGAGGTGGGTGAGCTTTCCTTTTACTCCTCAAACAAGGGCAATGGATATACACTGTTCTGATGCAGCTGCAATTACAGAAACATGACTGCAAGGTGACCAAGGATGGGAACTGAACATCCACTGGGTATTTAATACTTAGGAAAGACAGAAATATAAGGAGACAAGGTGGGTTAGCATTGTTAGTGAAGGAATAATAATTGAATAATGAGGAATGATCAAAAACAGAACTTACTGGAAGAACTCTGGTAGGTCTGGCAGCATCCATGCAGAGAAATCAGAGTTAACGTTTCAGGTCCAGTGACCCTTCCTCAGAACCAAAGGGTCTAATGGTCTCAAGTTTCTGAGGAAGGGTCACTGAACCTGAACCATTAACTCTGATTTCTCTCCACAGATGCTGCCAGATCTGCTGAGCTTTTCCAGCTTTTCTGTTTTTGTTGCTGATTTCCAGCATCCGCAGTTCTTTCGGTTTTTATTTAAAATGAGGAAGGATATTGGCTGAGAAAATCTTGATGTAGAATCTGTATGGATGGAGGTACAAAACTCAAAGGGGCAGAAGACATTGGTGGGAATTGTTTATAGGTCCCCCAAATAGTAGTCGAGATGTAAGGGAAGGCATTAAATGGA